TTATTCTTTATAAGAAAACTAAGCAGTCCGTTTTATAACTGCGCGTGGAGTGTAAATTTATGTGTGTATGTGCTGTGTTTGTGCAGCTTTGAGTTTTTATCGCATTTTTTGTGTCATACCGCAATATCAAAACCTCAACATTGATTTTGACAAGTTTCCCTGCACTCCTCCTCTCCGCATCACTCACCCCTCCGCTGGCCTTTCTTTTTATACATATATGATTCTATCTCGGTTCCTACAACTACATAGCAGCAGTTCATCCATGGCAAAAAAAAACTCCTTAGCTTTTAGAGTTTATTTGTGTTGCAATGCGGCGAGCAAAGTAGCGATGACTGTATGGTTTCCATCTATCCTTTGGAGAGGATCGCTTAAGATTTCAAACTTTTGTGTAAATCACGCACGCAGAAGAAGGACTTTTCCGTGTTTAGCTTTTATCTACGTGTATATATGTTTGAATGTAGAATGGTTTTTTTATTTTTTTGTCAACTTTTTTATTTAAAAATTTTTGCACTGAAATTTCAGCGCTTTAAGAATATATGTTTGAAAATATGGATTTTTTCTTAAAGTCTTTGTCGCTTAATTGTGGTTTGTTTGGTACACTGCTTTATGTTCGCAGATACTGATAAGCATCCATATCAAAGTAAAAAATAAACTGTTCCGCCATATTAAAGTCATATTAAAGGTTATTACAATTTAATTTCAGACTAATTATGTTTCAATCTATTTTAAAAATTTACAGAAATACTATATATGTGAAGATTTACAATTGGAAATCCCTTAAAATCACACAGTCTATATTTCTTTGCCGGAAAATCCGGAAAATTTACGAGTCCAATTGAAGAAAGTTATGTATATGGCAATAGCTTTCGTGAATAGCTTTATGTGAAAAATTTAAATAAAAAGGAACGGAAAGATTTATGTAGCTCAAAATAAATCAAAATAAATAAAACTACATCCTTCCAAAGTTGGATTTATATAGTTACTGCCAGGAGAAAATAGCCTCAGATGTGAATGGTAAAAAAGAGATAGAGGAGAAGGATAATATCTGAATCTACTCCGAATGGTCCAAACTAGACTGCGGAGTAGGGACAGGGATATACTCCGTGGATCTTGATATAACCGAACCCTTTTTAAACGCGGTTTCTTTTTACACGGGTTTGAAGTTACACGGTTGACAAAAAAAAAATTTTTTTTTTTCAAAATCATTGTCTTGTAAGTATGTTTGTTTTTACCACACTTAGCACCATTGCTGAAATGAACATATATAGTAGTAACTGGGGAAATCCCCTTTTTCGATAGCTCCTACCTACACRTTTTGTTCGCATGATATTTACATTGCTGAATGAATATCTCCAGCGATGATTAGTCCAGTTCGTCGCAACCAATTACGCTGTTATCAAGTAGCGACAAATAATTATGTAGCTATGTAAATATGTTTTCCTTATTTCTATTCTAATTTTTCTGCTCTTATTTCTGGATTAACAGGTTGCTTTTGTCTTTGTTTAATCTACCAATTTTTCACCCGTATGAATTATTTATTTTAAGTTTTAATGCTCAATAAAATGCCATAGAATTGGGCGYGACCTTGAAGTTGCCCCCATATAACTAATATCAGGATTTTTGAACATCTGGCTGACTTTACTCCAAATGATTGGGAATTGAATGTRGGGAACCTTGATGAAACATTGGGAGCATTTTACGTACTATCTTTTAACTGAATGTGTATTGGTAAAACATAGATAAAGTCGAGTCAATATTATCTCCATATACCTAATCTTCAAACTATCGTCTAAACTAACTGAATGTATAATATTGGATATACTATTGGATATACTATAGTTTAATACTGTTGTTAACTCGGCTATAATCGCGTAAGCGGTGTCTACGCCAGTTAAGAAGAAGATAGTTTAATACCAAAAATATTTGAAATTGAAATTATGAGTGATTCATTTTCAAATTCCATACATACRTATAATTATTTTCGTTAATCTAACAAATCTTATGCCGGAAATTGATTGGATTCCGAAGCTCTAGTTGCCACCTTAAGATATTTCCGTGGCTTTATTCCTGACAAGTTTCAAGAGTATAAAAAGTTTGGTTGCACCCAAACTTAGCCCTTCCTTACTTGTGATATTGTTTTTGTACTATTCAAAGTGTTTTTATGGACCAACTAATGTACATATATAGTATATACATATAGAGGCAATGCGAGGGTAGGCACTGATGTTAAAACATATTTAAAGCGATAAAACAATGAAACCAAATTGTTATTGCGGCAGTAGTCTGAACAACTAATTCAAATATATGAATAAGCATATTTATACGCCCAACATATGTACGCATGGAATGTTCGACTAGGAGAAGACATTGTGTCTTCCAACTGTTAACAACAACAAGTGGAAGTGCTAGATGGGGAAAGGGAGTCATTGAAAGTTTTAAGGGAGACCAGCAAAGTGACAGCAGAAGTGGCAATAGCCACTGTTACAAACCTAATGACAACAAAATCGTGTTTACACAATAAAAATTATGCAAAGCGCACTTGTGGCGGGTTAAGCATAAAACTTGTTGCGTGCTACTCACAGTGGCCAAAGTAAGTATGTCTGCACTCGCATACATAAACATATTTAAAAGTAATGCTACAGTGGTGACGGCAAAAAGTTTGATACAACAGCAAAGTCGGCTATTACACGAAGCAACTTTTGTTGCTAATTCTCGGTCGATTCTCTTTTGCTGTTGCCAATTACCTTCACACGAGCAACTTGTGTTGCGCAACTCTGTTCGAGTTTTTTTCTCATTCTCTTTCACTTTACTTTAACCCATTGTCGTTTMTTTTTCCTTATAGGTATTTGGGCCGCTCTATCACATATATTAATCAGTTCTGTCAATTAGGAAATACATTTTATTTATAATTCAAAATTAAAACAAAGGTTATATAACAGATCTTCACTATCGTCTGAATCAATTTTTATGGCTTCCTCCATACATTTCACAATATCTTTAATTAATTCGATTTTTTCGTCATACTCCACTTTCTAAAATATTTATGTTATATTGTGTATATTTGTATACATATTTGCAAATTACGTACCAAAAGATGAAATTAAATTTTTTAAATATATTCAAAATATTAATTTCAAAATAATATACGCAAATGCAACTATGTACTACGAAAGAAAGAACACGAATGCAGAAAAATGTCGCAATGAACTGTTACGAATAAGAACACAAAGCGAGTGGCTGAACACTGGAAACTCGGCGCGATTCTCCTCTCCTCGTCGCCCCCTCTCCTATAAACCAAGAGTTGCCGCAACAAAAGTTGCTTCGTGTAATAGCCGACAAAGGCGATAAAGCAACGCGACGGCAATGTGGCAGCGTGGCTACCGGCAGTTGTTGCAACTTGTTRGCCGCCAAGCACCAGTAGTAGGAGTATCACCGAACGGCATGTGGTGAAATGCGTTGAGCACAACCGCAAAACACTATTCACACACACCGCTGTACTAGCTAACAACTGTACTATTGAAGTGTCGCAATCGCACTACMAAAAAATAACAAAAACAATTCTAAATATGACTATAACTATTAATGCTTTGTTGCATCAATTCGAGCCCAAGCAACACAAACCTTCAACAAGTTACAAGTGTAAAAGTGCATATATAATAGTATATATTCATGATTGTGTGAATGGAAATAGGGTCTTTTAAAAGGAGTTTTTAATTGTGTTTATAAGGAGGTTGAATGATCTAAGTAGGTTAAAGATCTATTTATTTACGAATGTAAGTTGGAATAAAGCAGTCTTAAGAGTTTTATTCTTCAGAAGCTTCATGAAATGTAGCTACAAGTGGTCGAGGTTTTAATTCTAATTCGGTTCCAATTTCTGTGTCCATATTACGATCCACTTTATAGGACGGGATTACTTCTTTATTTTACCTAGCTTCGCACTCTTGAATTCAATAGAATTTAAATAGTTCTGTTAATACAACCTAACATATTTAGAAACAGGATCCACAAAAATAAACAAATGCAAATAACAACGGTTGAAACTATGTATGTATAGTATATACAAACAATTTATAATTCTCAATTGGATCTAAACTAAAAGTCGTAAGAGCTAAAACGAGAAAGATACAACTATGTGAAAGGTGAGTCCAACTCGAATTTATTCGCGTAAATATAATAGTTTGTCAAAAAGTCTTGCGGTAGTTTTATTGAATTTTCAATTGTTCATACAATTTTTTTTGATGACTCATGCCCAGCTCTTGACCGATGCTACGGCTGCTACTATGCCGGTCCGAAATGACAATCAACCAAACACGTGTTAGCTCGTGAAATGAGCTTTTCAAAAAGGTATAGCATGACCCGATGCGACGAATAAAACTAGAACTACGCGCTCTCAGCGCCAACTAGCGAAAATACTGCAAGACGTTTTTGATAACCATATATTTATATGTAGATTTATCCTAACGACGGACCTTGTACAGATACCTATATATAGTATGCACAAGGGGGAAAAGAGTTATTACTAGTATTATATATACAACTTCCATACCTTTGTACCCATGTCTGTGTGTTGTTATGCAGTTTGCCAAAGTGGGAACAAAGTTTTCCAAGGCTAATTAAAAACCATACATAAGCTCTACCAATAAATAGCATCCGTAACGTTACCACCAACTGCAACAATATTATTTGTTATATTTTAATTATGAAACAAAAGTCACAATAACCAAGTGACAATAACAAAACAAAAAAATTAAAAGTACCACAACATACAAAGCAGGCTAATACTCGCATAAAGTTGAAGAATTCAAGTTTACAAGGGTTCTTTAACCACTTTGATRACAGCACTTGCCACAAACTTTGCAGTAACCCAAAAGCAAAACCCCTTTACACTGAGGAAACACTCTCACCAGCTCTTTACTTTCTTTTAAGGAAGCCGCAACAATGTGATCCTTAATCGASTTAATCCGCTCTTGAACCATGGAAAGTCTCTTTTTCTAACTAACCTGAGTCCGGGCACCTGCGTCGCCATCGTGCCATCCTTAAGCACCCACGATACTACTGGCGGCGGATTACCATGCGCCGTGCAGCTGATCTSAGTGCCAGTGTCGTTGCTGAAGAGCAGACGCGCCGGCGGTTCCTGTATGAAAGTGGGCACACGTAAGCCGCTTGTGGCTTTGGCGACTGGTGGCGTCGGCAGCATGACCATTAGTACTGCCAACAATGGTAGSAACACCGAAGACCTGGGCGTGGTACCTGCAATAAAACAAAACTATTACAACAACTGCGATGGATAAGCGTGTAAACATGTAAATAAGTTGCACATAATCTTATATACAATTGCAACCTTCTCGGCATTAAAATTAATTTTTTTACTTTTATAATTAGGACAATCATTATGATTATTAGATTGATAGGAATTAAAAAATTAACTTATTAAAAAAATGTAAGGAAGGRATACATTTGGGTGCATCCAAACAATTTATACTCTTGCAACTTSTAATAATCAAAATCAAKGAAATACCTTAACCAGATTATCGAAATCCAAGCAATAATATAACTCATACACTTAGCGACATGTTCAACATAAGGTTTGTTAGAAAAACGAAAATCATTTTACATATCGTCACATGAAATGCAAAATGACGTATCATTAAAAAATTCGAAATTGGGTGTCTTATTGATTACGATTTACTACTTTAAATTACGTACATAATATTATGTATGTTCAACATTTTCAGGTTCTGAGCTCTGTTATAAACCAGTTTTAACCAATATCAAAATTTTGTTCACTCAAGTTCCATTTTATTTCGTGTTTCATTCATGCCTCTGTAAATTTCCGAAAATGTTGTTACGTTATTTTGCATTTCAAGTGACGATATTATTATATGCGAATTTATCTACATTACGAATACTAAATACTATAAACATGACACATACTCATAAAATATTTCCTGAGATTCATATAATACTAACCGTCCTACGATGCCGATAAGGCGTTAGCTTCTTTTTTCAATGCATATCCCTTAAAATTATTTATTTAATAGTGTGCCCGAATTTTTTTGTAATGCTTTTTTTACTTGCATGAATAAAGCGTCTTTATTGTTATAACTTTCACGTTTTGATGTACAATTTCCCGCAGGTCTTCTGTAGGATTTAGATCTACAACAGGTCACCTCAATTATGTCACCAACCATTTTTTTAAACAAATATACGCGAGTTTGGGGGCGGTGTCGTGTTGATAAATACATTTTAAAGTATATTATTCTTCAGCTTGCAGCAGCATAATATTGTGAAAAATATTTTTRTACAGATCAAGATATCACTATTTTGTAATTGTCCAATTTTTGTGCATCCGCGCACATACCATTCGAGTCGCTCAGTTCTTTAAAGAMATTTACGAGTTTTTCGAGTTCCTGTAGCATGGAAATATGAACAGCTTAGACAGATCGGTGCTGTATGGGTCTCAGTGATATTTTGAACCGTTAAGGGGCTATACCAGTGTGACGCCGTGTAAGCCATTAATAAAGATAGTAAAGTCAAATTTGGCACAAAGGCTCACATTAGGGAGGGGCATATGTGGACGTAGTTTTTTTTTTGAAAAAGTGGGCGTAAACCCGCCCCTTACTAGGTTTTTTGTACATATCTCGGAAACTACTATAGCTATGTCAACCAAACTCTATAGAGTCGTATAGAGAGTTCCTTCAGGCATTTCCATATACAGTTCAAAAATGGAAGAAATCGGATAATAACCACGCCCACCTCCGATAAAAAGGTTATGTTGAAAATCACTAAAAGTGCGTTAACCGACTAACAAAAAACGTCAGAATAATTAATAAATTTTAGGGAAGAAATGGCAGAAGGAAGCTGCACCCAGGCTTTTTTTTAAAAATTGAAAATSGGCGTGGCGTCGCACACTTATGGACCATAAACCATATCTGAGGAACTATTCGACCAATTTCAATGAAATTCGGCATATAATATTTTCTTAACACCCTGATGACATGTACAATCGGTTCACAACCACGCCTTCTTCGAATATAACGCTATTTTGAATTCCATCTGATGCCTTCCCTATATAATATATACATTACGAACCAATGATGATAGCTTAATAAAACTTTACACAAATACGGTATTTGAGCTGAGGTATCCCTTGTGGAAAAATTGTCGTGATCGGACTATAACTTTTCAAGGTACTTGATATCGAACACGAAGAACTCAGTGCCTAACCTAACCTAACCTAATTTTTCACCGAAAATATCGGTAAATCAATACAGTTAAAATAAATGAAAATACAATTCAATACTCAAACTACACAAATTGATCTAATCGAATTAATTTTACAGCAAAATAAAAAATATGGAAACGACGGATAATGAAATCTCGATTATCACTTTACACCCGAACTTAGCCCTTCCTTACTTGGTTTTTGTGCTATTTACGAAAATATGAAGGACGCTGCTTAAGCATACTCTCAAGCGAGTATGGCTCTTCATTGAAATAATGTACTTTGATAGTGCATAACGGCAGAGCGATAATGAACTGTGTTTAAGCTGAAGTTATTTTAAACACATAATATAAAAGGTGTCTTCCAAAGTAAACAGGACTTAAAAAAATACAGAGCAAATGGTTTTTTTCGGCAAAATCAATTTATTTTATTCAAAATAGTCTCCTTCTGCTTCAATACAACTTTTTGCATAGTCCAAAAGCATGTCGAACGAGTGTTTTAGCTCGTTGGCCGGTATGGCCGCCAGTATGCCGGTGCAAGCCTTTTGAATGGCCTCTACGTCTGCATAACGCAAATGCATTTYTCCGAAAAGGAAGAAGTCGGACGGTGCTATATCAGGTGAATACGTGGAGTGGTTAATGGTTAAAATGTGATTTTTGGTCAAATAATTGGTCACCAGCGTCGATGATGAGACGGCGTTTTCGTCGTCAGTCAATTTGTGCGGAACAAACCGTACGCACGCTTTTCTTATGCCCAAATATTTGGTCACAATGCGAAACGTTTCGGTAAAAGTTTTACCAATTTTAAAACCTTAATGTTGGCTCCTTGTTTCAAGCTCATTTTCGCACCGATAACACAAACATAMTTACTGACACTTAAAACGCAATAACMTCACTACCAATCAATGGAGTGTCATAAAATTCTCACTGGAAAATCGATAAAGATAGCAGAACGCACTAGACATATAGATGGCCCCACTAGGAGGCGCCAAAAGCTGAAGGTAGAAAACATAGCATTAAATAGTTAATCATACTAAGTTTTTTTTAGAAAGTCTTATATTTAGATATGACACCATCTGTAATGGGTGATGAAATTTTAAAATTTCAGCTGTTTAAAAACAATATTTAAACATTTCGATACACAAAATGAATACAAATAATTTAAAATTTGAAACAATATTCGTTTATGAGAGGACACCCTTTGTTTATAAAAAAGTCGGAAATATACAACGTATATGTTATTGAGAAGCTAAGAAAGAAATTTAAAAAATAAGCCGTATAGTTATCAAACTAAACACTATTTTCCGTAAACACAAATGGTTAATGGTACTTTTTTAAAGAGTTGAAATTTTGAAATTTTGAACTCCAAAATGTTTCATATTTTACATTTTATACTCTCGCATGATAAAGGGATAATCGAGATTTCAGTATCCGTCATTTACATATTTTTATACTCTCGCAACAAAGTTGCTAA